TTTTTTGAGCCGAGGGTCTCCTGGAAACAGCCTCTCTACCCTTCGGGGTAGGGGTAAGGTTTGAGTACATATTACCCTCCCCAGACCCCACTTGTGGGATTATACTGGGTTGTTGGTGGTGGTGGTGGCGTGGTAGTGGTGGTGGTGGTGGCGTGGTAGTGGTGGTGGTTGAGTATGGTTGTGGTGGTGGCATGATGGTAGTTGATAGTGGTAGGCAGTAGCGGCGGGTAATAATGAATATGTGATAACATCTTAATGAAATTAAGTCTCTGTTATAGTTCTTAATCATACAGACATATTCAAACTCATTACGTGGTTGTGAAGTAAAAAAAACAAACAAACTTAATTATTAAGATCTGAATAACTAAGATTCAGACTTAAAAGCAAACGCACTTAATGTTTGAGATCTGAATTATTAAGATTCAGACCTCCATTAAGTGCAAACAAATGAGGCCTAAGAAGTCGTTTGGAACAGGAATAGCATTTGCTTCCTATATGTTAAGGGTAACCCTTTTGAGCACGAGTAGGTAACATCTACACCAAGTATGTCATACTCTCAATTCCATAAAGTAAACCTATTACATGATACTTCAGTAATCTTCCTTCATCCAAATAATCCTAAACTTGTGGTATGATGCCTTACGAAACCTAATTTGCAATGTTTTCTTTTTTCTTTTCATCTTTCCATAAAATCATCACTGTTTTTCCAGCATTAAACATGCCTCGACTTTCATGTTTTCCAAGCTCTTTTCATGCTTAATCTTTCTAAGAAATTATCCATTATAAGACCCATTTCATCCACAATGATTTCTATCCTTTTGGGCCCAAATCAGCACAATTCTGTAACCATCAAGCTGTTGCAACCTCCCACAAAACTGGTATTTCCTAACATCACATTGAGGTTCCATTGAAGCTTAACACAGAAAATACACAACAAGATATGACCACACGAGGGCTAAAAGACAAGGAAATCAGAGAAAGTTATCCTTTCTATATGAGTACATACCGGCAGGCTGTTGAGAAGTGCAAGGGCCAAAGAGACATTAAAGGTGAACATCAAAAACTTTTCCAGTACGTATGGAAGATGTGCACCAAATTTAGCGGACCAACGAGGTTGATATGAAGTCAAAAGAACTGAAGGCTTCATTGAATTTACATCACCCACAAAAACAAAAGTCTTAACACAGGGGTTCTCCCTTGAGTTATCATCGTCAACAACACGCATTGTTCCAAGTTGCGAGCATTGCAGAGGAGGATTTGAATATGCTATCTCCACCCATGCTACACCGGTCGACAAAAGTGGAACAAAGCATGCTTTGTCCTGCAATAAAACATCAATTCTTCACCACATGTTCAAATGCATTTTGAGTGTGGTTGTGTTTGTTCTAATCATATAGCGCATTACAAACTACATGAGCAATTTTTCTTGGCAGTACATGACAAACATAAACAGCTGGAAAAATGATATAAAGATGTAACTTCTTGTCAAAATAGGACACGCTAAAAATTCACCTTGGAACACAAGCAGCTGCTCCTGTTGTTACGAATTCTACCCCAACCATCACCACATTTCTCAAGGTTTAATATATCCGTTGCATACAAGCAGTGGAGTTCACCTCCATCCCTTTGATGGTTAACCTCAAGATTATCATCATCAGGCATGGCCTGATCCAAGCATTGAATGGTAATAAATGGACTTAATTCATCTGGGCAAGAAGTTTCATTGCCTTTCAACGAAATATGTTTGCTCTCTTCAATCAAAGAATAGGGAACACAGTAGCCTTTACCAACACTTGTTTTCATAGAGTTCCCAGGAAGGCTGTGATTCTGAGAGTTTTGATAGTGCTCAGTTAGTATAGCAATCATTTGCGACCACTCCTGAAGATTATTGATGCGGATGCCATCCAATGATATTATGACATCACCAGGAGATAAATAGCCAGACAATGGCGATGTTGGAGACACATCCAGCACCTGCTCAAGATATTGTGATTGGAACACATTAGCCACAACAATGCCTAACTAGGTTCCACCAAATTAGCACCTTACAGTACATCCTCAATTACCATGGGGCCTTCATCATGAATGTAAAATGGAGACAAGATCAAGGGTTCAACAAACAACGCCCAAGCACAAACAGCACAGAGCTGAAAGAAAAGTCGCCCAATCAGTACAAAGAGTACATAATATGACAAATAAATGTAGATGGACTAGCATTCCTTAAAAAACCGAGAGCTGCTATAAGCACCCACAGCTGCATTATGCCAAACGCCAGCACAGTATATACGAAGAGCAGAAACTTTGGATAATGCCAGCAATAACTCGTGATTGAATGCCACAAGAGCGCCTGGAAATAATGAAGCCAGAAATACAGCTATGTACTCCATCTGTATCCCCTCACTGCTTTTCCAGAATGTAGTGCCTACAAAAGCAGTTGTGAGATTCATGTACTGCTAGGTCTTAAAACATGTCAACTGATCAGGTATATGACGCAATAGTTAGCCAATTGTTAAATCAAAGATCATGAACGTTAACTGATGCAATTAACATGCTTAACAACATATCTATTATTTGTTGTGCAGCCATGAGGCTTATATACAAAGATTTCATAGAAGCTATTAATCATGCATAGAAAAAAGTACAAGAAATGTTAACTGCATCTTATCCTAGAAACTCTGTGCCACTACACTTTGATACCTCGTTTCCTCCAGCTCGATCAATTCATTGGTGAAACTCTACTAGAAAAAGATTCATACCCCTCGTTTCCCACCAGCCCGAACACACATGTAGAGAACTTTCCGCCATTCAGAACCTTTTGGGTAAAAGGAAGAGAATTCAGGATACTCAAACAAAAGCACCAAAGCACATGATGGGTGAACTGAGATTCATATTCTTGTCCTTTGAGTAACCATTGTTTGGGCTTTGGCTTTGGGTTTTCTTGTTCCAGAGGTGTGATTAATAGGAGCATCAGAGGAAGAAACATCTGTCAGTCTGTTCATGTAACGAACTCTCTTCCTTAACATACCCTGATTATATTGCTCAATAACAGTTCAAAAATTCTCAATCATCTCTAAGTAAGCCTTCAATGAAGCCAAAGCTTAGATGCACTGCCATTATTAATCTACTGGACTGAAACCACAGATACTCATCTAAAGAGAAAATTATTCATCATTCTTCGTATATGCATTGTCCCACGTGTATTATTTTCTCCCAGAAGAAGTTAGGAAAAGTAATGAAAGAGTACAAGTACAAGAAGGAACATAATCTTTCAAGAAGATTTCCATGAATACATATATTAAGTATAGCTAGATTCACATTGTACTCCAAACATTTCAAAAGAGTATCAGTCTTAACCTTGCAGCAGCTAGAGCGTGGCCAAGTTCATGCACTGAAACTGATATG